TTTTTCCATAAGGAAAGTGGGCGACTGGACGAGAAGGCACTCGAATAAAGCCTAAGGAATTGGCTTGAGTAAAATTTGAAAAAAATTTATGGTACAGTGAGAAGAAGGATAGTTCATAGGGAAATGTGGAAAAGGAAAATATCTTTTGTGGTCATTTTTGTATAATACGTTGTTTGGAAGCGATAAGCGGGCTACAGCCACTTGAAATACTGTAATCCTCCTTAAATTATGTACAGGGTTTGTGCCTAGTATTACGTGACAGCTGTTTCCAAAGCGAGAACCAATCAAAGTCAAAGAAAGAGTTGGCCGCTCATTGAATTCTGTTACAGAAATTATTTTTATCCTGAGGCATCATGTAGGTTTATTGGTAAAGTATTATTATACCACAGCGTGGGGATGAGTGGGAGTTATAAGGATATTATGAAATGCATCGTACTTTATTTTGTGTGTGTAGCTTGATTATTATTGCTACTTTGAGAGTAAGAGACCCAAATAGAATCCATGCCTTTCAAAAACATGGTATTATTCAACCAAAGCAATGCTCAATGATGTTAGAGACAGCTCGTTTTGAATTCAAGATGCTAGCTGTCTTGGTAATCTAGAATGATCCTACTCGGACCAGGGGCAAATTTGGGCATGAGACCACTATATGGTATTCTATATTTACCAAATGAACGGCAGGACCTTGGTTAACAAGGTTTATGCAAAAAAACGATTTTTAAGATGAGAGCTCGAGGGGAAAAGACTAACAATACTCAAAACAGCTGGCCTACATTTTGCTAAAGTGAAAACTCCAGCCAAAGTATTGCAAGCAGATGAAGTCAAAATTTTGCTGCTGGTGGTGGCAAGACTGGAAGCTTTATAGTCGGACTTTGTAGTGGTGGCAACAGCTGTATCCGGAGAAGAGGAACAAGCATCGCCCTTTAGGCCGAATAATAGATGAAAACTGTCCATATCAAAGCTAAGTTGACCGACCAGGAGTTGGGCCATATTCTCCTGACTGAATTGAAGAAAAAGGCAAGATAAAATATCCGTAAAAGTAAACATAATCAATTAAAATGAAGTAATTAAAATTAAAAATCAGGTAATCCAACTAAAGGCTAGGCAAAGTTGGGTAAAAAGTTTTTTGGTCGACGGAGAGAGACAGTGTAGCAAGCAGCTTAAGTGAGATATTGCAGAAAAAATGTTTCAAGTAAAAAAATGATTCACTATCAAAACATTGGGCTTTAGCCAATTACCCACCTGGTTTGATTTGCCTGCGTCTGTTTTACTGGCTTATTTGATTCTGCTAGCCGACCACCTCCCAGAGAACTAGAAGGGACAATAGATGTCAGATCCGAACCTGCCAAATAGGAGGTACAACCAGTCCCGGGCAAACTAATGGCGATGACATTGCTAGTGGTGAGTGGAATAGTAGAGGTTTTGGAAGAGGTGAAGGAGGAAATAGGGCCTGGTGGCCGAAGCATAAGGCGGATTAGGAGACCAGCAGTGGCCGTCAGGAGAGGAAAAATAGTGACGGCCTGAAAGTCCGGCAATTCAGCCTCGGACAACCAGAGAAAGACTCGAGAACTGGCAAGTCGGTTTAATATGTTGCAGACCAACTGTAAACCGAAATATTCCATCAAAAGCGCCAAAGAAAATATCAGGATACGAGACATTTGTAAAGAGATGAGGGGAAGATTATGAAATGGAAGAATAAAGGAGAACTTAGTTATCACATAAGATATTTTTAAAATATGTTATTCTAATAAAGTTGAAGAGGCGAAATAGCAAAAGATAGGTGCTCGTTTCTTTTACGTATATGTATATATCATAGTCCATTCAGAAAATTAATACGACAAATTAATAAAAAAAAACAGATACGTGATAAAAGTATAACAATATTTAACCATAAAACAAGTGAATATAAATCAAATATAGTTAAACGTTGTTTGATCTTGTTTTCACAACCTGACTTGTATGACTGGAGGCACAGAAGTGGGTATGTTCTTCAAGTTCTCCTCGCTGCCACGCACTTGAAAAAAAAGATCTCAAACTAATTTCAAACTTTTATCG